ACAATTGTAAGATTCTCATTTCACCCTAAGGGTGTTCATGTAACCAACCAGTAAAAGTAATTACAACTGAGCTGACCATTATTAAAGGTCATCTCCTAACTGACCAGATCAAATAAGATTAAGTAACTGTCACTTGATTCCTGAGCCTTTCCTACTTCCTCTGCCGCTGGATGTGGCCCCAGCCCGTGCTTCTGAGGAAGTACCCTAAGTGCTCAGTGCTGTGGCCGCGTGCGCGGCATGATGGACGCCCAGATGGCTGCAGACACCTGCACCCACGCCCACTCCTTCCCTCCTTCTGTCCCAGTGGAAGGAGAGCGTTCCTTTCCTTGCCTTTTCTTAAAGTGAGTTTAATTGATCTTGTCTCTTTAGGAAATCTCATTGTATTGGAAAAGGTGACTTATGATACTATTCCTAAACATGAAATCTAAACTAAGTTCCTAGAAGTCCTTTTTCAACCTGTTCAGGGAATTCTAAAGGGACAGAACTATGAATAAAAATGTGCCTTCTTCCCTTTCTTCCTCACTGGTAGTTTGTTAGGTCAGTCACACTTTTGGCACTAACCTATTTTTGCAGACTCATCTTTGACGAGAGTGAAGAATAGTTAGGGGTGGTGGAAGACTATTAAATGCAGATATAAAATGAGGACTACAAAAACAAAACAGCATTTTGTTTGTTGTTGTTGTTGTTTTGGTGATTAGGGATGTTAGTTTTTCGGGAGTAAGGCAGTTGCAGGAACCAGCATTTTTAGCACGTACCAGGCACTACGGTGGGTGTTTTATAGACATCAACTCACCCAATCCTAAAACCCATCTAAACACGTACATATAATTAGCCCCAACACATCCCACTGAAGGAGGCTGGGTTTATCACCTGGTGAGTGATGGGCCTCCTTCCTCCTCCCTTCCCCTAACCCCCTGCTCTGGCAGCTGGCCCCCCACCTCCATTCCCTTCCCACTATGTTCCGCTTGCAGAACACTCTTCCCCTTCCTCACCACCCTGCATCCTGCTATCACCCAAGGTGTCTTCAGCGAACAGCTGATGCTCTGCTGCTACCTGGCTTCTGTGTTCTCTGAACAGCTCCTAGATCCCAACAACGGCTTCCTCACCATACCTCAGCCACTCTCTTCCAGGTCCTTATCACCAGCAGAAGTCCCACCACCTCTGAAATCGGAATTTGAATGCTCCCAGCCGGGATCCTTTTCTTATCTCTCTAGTTCCCTTGTCTTCAAGACCACCGATGCTGCCACCTTCACATTCTGCACCTGCTCTGTCCTGGCTTCACTTCCCTCCCGGCGAGAAGAACAAGCCTTTGTTCCATCATTATCATTTTCTTGTAAATAACCCACTCTTCTCCCCCCTTTCCTCATTATGCCCCACAGAGGGCGTCCTCGGTCGCACACGATTTCGTCCCCTCGCACTGTGGGTCCCACCCCATCTCACGTGCCCAAAGACTGTTCCCACTGTCCCTCCAGCTACATCCGTCCCGCTCTCTCCACCGGCTTGCTGTGATCAGCACACAGGCCTCCACTTGCAAACAGTCTCCCTGTGGCCACCTCATTTCTCTGCAATCCTTCACAGCCAAGTTCTGAAAGGAGGAGCCTGCACATTCAGTGTTCCCTCACCTCCCGCTCTTTCTTCCACACACTCCCAAATCTCCCATGCCCGCCACTCCCCTCTCCCAAGGTCACTGACCTCCATGCTATCAATGCGAATACACAAAGAGCAAACACATTTGGCCATTCCCGCCTTCTGGAGGGTCTCCTCCAGTTCTCATGGCAGCATAAAACCCCTTTCCCTCTTACCTGCCTGCTTATTACTTCTAACTCTCGCTCTCTTTTTGCGGGCTCCTCTTCCTCTCCATGACCCCAAGTGTCGGCGTTCTTCAGGGCCTGCCTCTAGGCTACTGGCTCTTTCTGTGTATACTTTTTCCTCTGGTGACCTCAACATTTCTGGGACTTGACATATTCTCTACCTTCTGACGACTCTGTAACTCATGCCTCCATCCTGGACCTCTCCTCTGGGCCACAGGACTGCATGTTCACGTCTCCTTTCACATGTCTCAGACAATTCAAACTTGACACGTTCACCATCCCCGTCTTTCTCATCACGGTAAATGGCACTGCCACACAAAAATCCTGTTGCTCCCACCAGAAGCCCAGAAGTTCCTTCTAATGACTGTTTCCTTTGTTCCCCGTATGTAAACCGTCAACAAGCCCAAGTCTACCTGTAAACGATGTCTCAGACGGTGCTGGAGCAGTGACCCCTCCCCCCAATCTCAGTGCTGCCTGTCTTCCCTACAGCACCAATCTCAACTTACAGTTACAGAGTAACTTGTTTATTTTCTCTATGAAAGGAAGCACCATGAAGGTAGAGATCATACCCTGTTTACTACTGTATTTACCGGCAGCTCTTCAACACGTATCTACTGAACAAATGAAACTCTTTCTAGAAGAAATGACAGACCCTAGACTTTTACCTTTATGGAGAATACAGGCATTTAAACCAAAAAAAGGTGCCTTACAACATTGTGGATCACTTCAACACATACTCCAACATTCCTAGTACAATCTCTCTCCAGACTTTTTCCCCAGGATCGCAGGAAGAAGAGTGACGAAGGCCAGCCACTGCGCATTCTCTGTGAGAACTGAGACCCCAGGTGTGCCAGCGCTACATTCCCCGCACGTGAGAAACAGAGCACAGCTCTGGAGGCAGTCAGGCTTGAACCAAATCTCCATTCTGGCAAAAGCTGTGTCTTCTTGCAAGTTATTTAAACACTCTAAGCCTGTTTCCTCATCTGTTCTTGGAAAGACGCCATGACTGAGGATTCAAAGACATGTCACTTGTTAGAGGGTCTTCCATGGTGCCTGATACCTAACAGATACACACAAAAAGTGGCCAAGAACCCCAGGCCAAACCCTCCCGTTCCAAAACATAGCACTACACTGGGTAAGAATACAAACAAAAATCTGACGTAGAGCAGATGTCTTTTTTTTTTTAAAACTGCCATACTTCAAGCCATTCTCTTCTTAGCAGGGAGGCTAAGCCCTCATTCTCTTCATTCAAGCCCTCATTCTCTTCATTAGCTTGGTCGGACAGGGGACTGGAGAAGAGCAGAAAGAATACCGGACTTGCCATCAGCTGGTCTGAGTCTGAATACTGGCTTCACTATTTGCACCTTATGTGAAATTTGCAGGACTCATTTAATCTCTTCAAGCTTCTTCCCGGGTATAAAATGGAAGACTCCCAGCATAGTGATGGCCCTCGGGGACAATAAGACAAGAAATGTTCCACAAATCTTAATCTCAGAGATGCAAAAACTCGGGCGAGGGTGGTTAAGCAGCTTGGGGCTGATGGTTCATCAGACCACTAGAGGCTGAGACAGAAACCCCAGGCTACAGGGTGAATTCTCTCAAGTGTGGAAAAGATGAACAAAATGTTCCAAACTCCCAAACACCAGACCTTCTATTCTACGATGCTATTTTTAAAAGGCAAAAGGCTATTAGACTCTACCTTTCAGATTCATGTTGGTGAAAAGTGCTCAGATGCCTAAAGGAAAATGAGTTTCTCCAACGATATCAAACAGAGCTGTTAAGCAGTGTTTATAAAATTTCTCATTTCTGTTCTTTTGGTTCCTTTTTTTGCCAGAGCTCCAAGAATCTCAACAATGCTTCCAAACCTAAAAGCAGCAGAAATGACTGGGAGAGAAGGGGTATATGCAACAGAAACACGCATCAATCTTTTGTTATCTGTTGCTCTAGTTTAAATTCCCAAAGAACTTCTGGAACGTACTGTTCCAGAAAGCTTAGAGAAAAAAGCCCATTGGAAATGCAGGAGTCAGAACCTCTTTTCGTCTTCACTCTCAAAACCACTGCGTTCTTGCAGAACAGAAAAGTAGGTTTTGCTCACTTTCTCAAGCAAGGAAAGTTCTGCTCCATTTCTTATAATACTTCAAAATTTAAATCCATGACATCTTAAGAATTCAAATAACCTATCTGCCTCTGACTCTACTGTTCAAGACCAGATTTACTGTTGAGAGTAAACAAGTTCTATTCTTGTAACAGAGTTTTGTAGAGAGGCTCATTAGCCTTAATGACCAGCTCAGAGTTTAAACAGATAAACAACATGGGTTTGGGGACTACTTTTCCTCTCCACAGTTTTAAGACTTGAGGAAAACCGCATCTACTGGTAGTGATTTTGAATGTCAGAGGGAGAGGTTATCTTCTGTATAATTTATCAGACTTATTCTTCTGAAAATCATTTTTTTTTCTTAAACTGATAGGAGGTGATGGTGAAGCTTCTGAAGAACATGCTATGTTCAGTAGTATAACAAAAATTTTTTCTAGTCACTGACCCATACTAGCTCACGTAAGAATCCTATGCAATATATCAAAATGCCTCAGCAGACACAGACTCAATACCTTTTTCCATCCAGCTACCTCAACTAAGTCCTGGGGCTCAGGCCTTTCTGACTGGACATTCTGTGGTGAGGGACAGTTAGGGGAGCAAATAGGGCTGCGTGGCTTTAACCCAAGGAGCTATTAACAACAAAACGACAGATTTCCAAAAGATGCAGTCTGGGTCTGCACTAGGGCAGTTAAAGCGAGGTTCACGTTTTCAGATATTTTATACTTAGGTTGTTTCCCTGCCTCTGTCCCCCAAGACTCTGATAGCACAAAAAAGTCCTTAGTTAGGCATTAATGGGAATATAGAATTTCTAAGGAGGAAAGTCAGAGACACTGTTGTTAAAATGGAACTGGAGGGCAGAGAATAAGATCAGACCGAGCTTCCAGAAGAGGATGTGGCCAGAGTCCCTGGCTCTCTGCAGAAGACTTACTTATTATCACACTGGGCACTAAAATTCAATACCATGGAGAAAACAAGTTTCCAATCTCCAGACAAAATTCAGCCTCCCAAACCACCCAGTTCTGACTTTCCTCCAACCTGTGAAGCAGCCATCAGAGTAAACTGGAGGCCATCAAAAAAGAAATGAGAATAATCACCTCCATTTCATACATCGGGGGCCCAAGGATGTCTTTCAGAGCATGGAAATCAATCAAAATTGGCATTTCAGGTGGTAGGGCTAAGTCCGGAGTGTCACCGATGGATTCAGGTTTTGCATCTTCTAAGATGTGTTCTCTGCAACCTAAGAGAGAAAAATGTGTTTAGAAATTCTCAGAGATTGGAAGGTTTGAAAATTCATTAGTATACATCAAACAGAAGCACAGCTGACTTTAACAGATCAGTCACCTTTATATATTTATTCAGGCACAAAAATTTATCTCATGATCTGTGGAACTCAGGCAGAGACTCCATCTTTCAAGAGCCCCTGAAGGGTGATATAATGCACCGTCTTGTTCATTTATTCTCACTTGTTTGTCTACCCCTCCCACTGCACATAAGCTCCAGCAAGGCACAACCTTGTCTGTCTTCTTTTTTAATCAGTATATTCTTAAGCCAAGAACAATGCCTGGCCCTGCTCAACTTTAGAGGGCAGATACTGAAGGGTCACATGCAGTAGATTACTTTGTATGATTCTGTCAGATAAACAGAACACAAAGCTTTCAACTCCCTCTTCAGACGGGTCCCATCAGGTGTCCCATTTCCTGACAGGCGGCAAGAACTTGGAAATGATGGATCCCCGTATAAGCAATGCTTCTTTTGCAAAAAGGTTATTTTCCAATAAAAACAAGCACAACTGGCAGTGCCAGAGTAAAAGCATATGAAGCCTGGTGTGAGACCCCTATGATAATGGACTATTTCCTTGACCTGCCTAAGAGCCCTGGTTGCTAACAACTTGTCAGAGCACAGACTCCTGGTTTGAGCCTAGACATACGAGGAACAGGCGCCAACTGCCTTATCAGACCACCTTTCTGCTGCTCTCTGTAATTCCAGTTTGAGGAAAGAAAAATGTTATGTAAGCCTGTAGCCAGAAACCTAAAATGAATAGAGGTTGAAAAAATGTATGAAATATTTGTCTCTATTCATCCTTATACCTAGTTTTGCTTTTCTTTTAGCTTTGCCGTAACTCTTCCAGTTTTTATACTATCTCATGAAATGTTGTAAAATATCTTTATTTTTTTTTTACATACATCCTTCCTTCTGGAAATGATTACTACAATATACAATATATAATAATTATAAACTTGCCATTGTGTATTTTATTTTTGGTACCATTCTCCCTTTCTGATATCTCACGAAGTTAAAAGAACTGTTTTTCACTAACTCCTTTCCTTCCAAAAGTGATTCCTGAATGTGTTTTATAATATTAGGCCCTCATTTTAGACTCCAACGATAACTGGAAACATCCTGGGGCCTGGGGTGTCCCTAAACGACCCCTGCATAGAACAGCCTTGCTATGATAACCTTCCGGGTGAATGGCTCTCTTAGTCTGCTGGGCTCTCTGGGGCTCCTCTTCAAGACTGAATCACGAAAGATACATGATGGAAACCAGACAACAGCTCAGATTTTCCACCACTTGCTGCCTGCCAGACCCTCTGCCCAGCACTGAACTTTGCACTACCTATCTCTCCAGAGTTCTTGTGAGGATTAGAGAATTAAAGAGAAAACCCTTTGCAGACTGCAAAGTGATGTACCTTAAGTGTAAGTCTTGAGTTATATATATTCTCACAGTCATTTCTTTGGAATGTCATTTCATCTTTCAAAGTCTGGGTTCTAGGAAGTCTTCCTTGATATTTCCAACTTCTTACAGCACTTACCTGTTTTACTAAATCTAGCTATCACTGGGTTACTTAGTAGCTTGTGGGCATGGGAGGTTTTCTGCCTGCTGCCCTGTTTGCAGTCTATCTAAGCAGTATCACTGAGCAAGGGTGGAAAGGCACCCAAATGGCCAGGTTAGCTCCCTGTAGATCTCAAAGCAGAACAGAAAGTAGATGTCATTGCTTAATTTAAATTAATGCACAGAAAGAAAAGCACTACCTAAGGTTACTACTGTACCCTAAAAATGAAGGGCTCTGAAACTTCAGCTGATGCACAGAAGAGGCTGTGAGGTTCTTTAGCCTGGTGCGTTTTTGGACGAGGGGCTTTTCTGAGATCTAATTACTGTTGCCAGCCTGGAATTCACGATCACAGGAGGAGGTCAAGCTGGATGGCTGAAGGCCAATCCACAATTATGTAACTAATGCTTCAGGACATCCAATCCCTTTCCAAGTAGAGTAGTGAACTTAGTGCTTTGAGCACTGAGGAAGTGGCGGTGGGGAGAGCTGTTTCTTTTCTTTTCTTTTTTAAGATTTTATTTATATGAGAGAGAGAGCACAAGCAGGCGGAGAGGCAGACAGAGGGAGAGTAAGAAGCAGGCTCCACGCTGAGCAGGGAGCCGGGATGCGGGGCTCGATCCCAGGACCCTGGGGTCATGACCTGAGCGGAAGGCAGATGCTTAACCGACGAGCCACCCAGGCACCCCGGGAAAACTATTTCTAATGCAGCTAGACCTCATAAGATAAAAGATGGCCATTTCCTTCAGGCTTTAGGTACAGCAACTGTGTCAGAAAGAATTCAATAAACTTAGAACTAATCTGTGCTTCAAAATGCTCCATCATTATAACATGAGCCTAGAGAACGAAAAACTCAAGCCAAAAAAATGGTGCCAGCTAAGCAGGAAAGATAGGCTAGCACTGGATTTTAAGTATCATCCACAAGACCTACATGAACTGCAAAGTGACAGTAAAGAAATAGAATTCAGAGAATTCACACTTCGATTCCTCAAACCACCAACCAGTATATCATCATCTCACAAAGATGCCCTTCCAGGCATGAAATCCCGGTTACAGGTGAGCCCTCTGCGTCCTATGCATGAGCTTTCAAGCACTCAGCTCTAGTGCCATGTTTCCCCCTGCCAGAGGGCTCAGTACCCACAGAAGACAGTGGCACAGTCCCGAGGACTCACTACTGGCTTTGCCCCAGACTGTAGCATTCAAGCAAGGTGGACTTCTCAAGGCGAGGCAAACAACAATAAAGAAAGTTTAACCTCTCCCAACATAACATGAGCTCTGTCCCGCGAGCACTTCCTGCTGAGCCTCAGTCTTCCTCTTCTGTGCCCTTCCCTTGGGCAGAAACAGTGGTTCTTCAGATGGCTAACAGTCACATGAAAAGGACTGTTTCACCAAGCAGCGAAGAAGTTTACATTTTAAGAGTAAGATACCATTTGTTGGTTACCAAATTAAACTCTAGCAAACTAGTTTAAGAAATGACAAAGATCACTGTTAAAGTGAAGAAATCTTCCCAAACACCGAGCTTATGGAAATATAAAGTGATTCAATCTTCCAGGAAAGCCTCCCAAATATTCATACTCACAGGCCCGGTGGTCCCAGTTTGCAGGCACCTACCCTTAAGGACATTATCAGAGGTGCAGATGACTGTTGTGTAGGCAACAGTTTAGACAACAAAGCTACTTGCTGCAGAATGACTTTAAGAGCAAAAATGAGATCCAATATAAATACTCAACATTAGGAACATAAAGAAACTGGTACAGCCATCTAAGAAAATACGACGCAGTCAATAAAATTGTTTCCTGAGTGTTTTTAAGTAATGTGAGAAAATTCTTTTGAAACAATGTCAATTTGAGGAAAGAGGAGGGTATACACTTTCACATGGCATGATTTTTACTAATATAACATAATATAAATATATGTGAGAATGAATGAAATGATATAGTCCAAAATGTTAAAGTCATTCCCTGAATTATGAGATTAAGATTACATGGTGAAATAGTCAATAAATAACAGTCTCCAATCCTGGCTCTGGTTTCCCAGTTGGCCCTGAAGAAAGTTACTTTACCCACTTGTATCTGTTTTTCCAATCTGTAAAACCATAATAATTATAGTAACCCTCGTAGAGTTAGAGTCGTAGAGTCGCTGGGAGAATTTAACAATGTTTAAAGCCAAAATATGTATAAATGGGAGGAAGTGAGTTATAGAGTTAGAGAAATGTTTCACACAGACCTCTAAGACTCCCAGTTCTTACTCCATAGCCCCTTTTGCTGAAGAAAACAAAGTGCCCTCTGCAACCTAATTCCACTCAGGGCCCCAGAGAGAGGGCTTCAACCACAATCACAGGACTGTTGGGAGCCACATAAATTTAACATTTGTAAGAAAAAAAGAAAAAGATAACAGAATGCAAGATTCTTCCCTAGGCTCTAATATATATTACTATTACATTCAATGCACCAAAATTTCCTTTACAAATAACTTGGAAGCATATTCTTAAAAGTAATAAAGTGCTATTAAATAGAGGTTGAAAAGGCAGGTCATGGAAAAATGAGAAGCTAGCTCAGCCTCACTCCACTTCAACTGTTTCTTCACTTCAAAGATGAAACTGTTCTAAAAGTGGGAGGGAGCTTAAGTTCTTTTCAGTGATTCACTCTGCTCAGAGAGGTCTCCCAGCTCTTCTTTCATCCGTGTTATCAATCAGCTTGTCCTAACAGAGTCTAATTCAGGACGCAGGCAGGATGGTCAGGGTATAACCAAGGAGTTCCCCAGCATGAAGGCCGCAAATAAACAAGCAGCAGCCAAGCAGCAGCCGGGCAAGCTGCAATGCGCTCGCTCTGCTCACCGGCGCCCCCCCTGCAGCACAAGGACAGCCATGCTCCTGCGCTGCAGTGCCCTCCCTCAGGGGAGCTGATGTCACCCAGGCTATTAGGAAAAGACGCTCTACAGCTACAAACTCCTCATGAGAAAGGATTAGGCTTTCCAGAGCAGCTGTCCCAGGGACACGATCAAGTGTTCTTTCCCACCCACTTTTCCTCTCTCAGAGGAGCATGACTTAAATGAAAGCAGCCCAAGGGCCCAAGAATCACTGTGGGAGGAGGGAGAGAGGAAGATATTAAGAGGGGAGGTAAGGAGGTAGAATAGAGGGGTATATCATCTCCGGAAATGCCCAGGAGCTTTGTGTTAAAAAAAAAAAAAGTTTCTTGCCTTTTGAATAAATCTCGTGGCAAATGGCATCTCTTGGTAGGGGATCCAACCAATAATGGAAAACAGCAGAGGTCAGGAACACAAAAAAGGCTACTAACAACAATTCTCCAGAACGTAGGAGCAATGAAAATCTACCAAATCACAGATGCCCTAGGTGATCTATAATCATCTTTAGTCCAGACGGAACATTTTAGTTATCACTTATTATTCTCTG